TTAAGATATTTGTCATCAGCACATCTGATCTTTGTCCTCTTTTCAGAGTCAAAGTCAACCAACCATTTCTTGTTTCCAGTAAGATGATTTGAACAGCCAGTGTCCATATACCACCAGTCTGTCAGATCATCAGATTCAGAGGCCATCAATAGCACAGATTCGTCATCAGAACTTCTGGCTATATTTGCTTCTTCTGATTTCTTCTCCTTGTTTGACCAACAATCTCTAGCAAAGTGACCAAACTTCTTACAACAGTAACATTGGATCTTCTTCTTGTCATACTTCTCTTTTCCCTTCTGAGCATTCTTTTGCCTATCAGAGATTGAGCTTTCTGACTTCTGACCACCATCAGATCTTCTCTTGGCTTCTGACTGCTTCTGATACCTCCTATCAGAAGTTGCTTTCAGAGCCTGCTGCTCTACTTCCCTTTCAGAAGTTCTCTCAGTCAAACGCAACTTTTGCGCTTCTAAACTGCTCTGCAGATCTTCAATTCTCATGGTACTCAGATCTTTAGAATGTTCTATTGCTACCACAATGTAATCAAATTGAGAGGTAAGAAATCTCAATACCTTCTCAATGATTGTTTCTTCAGAAAGAGTTTCTCCACACGCCTTCATCTCATTAGTGATCAGAATCACTCTGGAGATGTATTCAGAAACTTTCTCATTATTCTTCATATTGAGATTCTCATATTGCTTTCTCAAGGACTGAAGCTTCACCTTCTTCACTGATGCGTCACCACCATAACATCTAACCAGTGTGTCCCACGCAGCCTTTGCTGTCGTTGAATCTGCAATCTTCTCAAACACATTTACATCAACACATTGATGAATAAAGAATAATGCTTTCTGATCCTTCTTCCTTACTTCCTTCTGCGCGTTTTTCTGTTCATCCGTTGCATCTGCTGCTACCGGAACATAACCATCAGTGACAAGATCTAAAACATCTTGAGCACCAAACAGTACACGCATTTGGATCATCCAACGGTTCCAGTTTTTACCGTCAAATACTGAAAGCTTGGTGTTCATGTTGCCGTTTCCGTTCATCTTCACCTTGCACAATACACTCAGATTTCTCACACAGTGTTTCCCAACCCACAGAATAAAATTCTGATCAGATTTTGTTCAAGATTCAACACGAATCTAAGAATCAAAATCAAACACACAAGACCTCACGTTCACTCGTGTTTCCCGTGTTTCCCAATGAATCTGAACCGGAGCTCTAGATACCAATTGTTGGTGCAAAGGTGAATAAATGATGAACAAAGAAAGGAAATATTCTATTAAGAATGACGGCTACAAAAACATGATAATAGTTACAATGATTGTCACCCTATTTATAAGCTAAAACTAGGGTTACTAGAATAAGATAAAATACTAAAATACCCTCTAACAAACTTAGGGGCTAAGAAAATAGTATAACTAAATAAATATGAATTACTATTAATATTCTAATAATAGTATGTAAGGAGGAGTTTTGTCCCTTTTCAATGTTGTTAGTAGATGTTATAAGAGTGTTATTTAAAAAAATTATTTTTAATTTTAATTTGATTTAATAATTTAAATCTTCCGATCAATCTTAACAACTCAAATATAAACTAATCATAATTGATTTTGTATTAAAAATATAATAGTTTTTATGTGCATGTTGACTTAGTACCCAACAAATATTCAAATAAACACTTGTTAAAAAAGAGAAATAAATTTAATGATCAAAATTGAAATATGTAGGAACTTTTTTTATAAATAATCACATTTTTCAAATTATATACTAAAATAACCATACTTTCAATTTATTTACTAAACTAATCATGTTTTGGTTGGATGACAAGAGGAGATGCCATTTAACATGGCACATGCTTTGGTGACTTACACATAGGTGTCTAGATGACGTGATCGAGACCCAAGATCCACATTTTTCACCTTTTATTAAGTGAATGTACTGTCACACTAGAGGATGAGGACATGTTGTTGGTTTTACCTATCGATGGTAAGGTTGTTAATGATAGAGTTAACCAAGATAACTCTATATGCGAAGAACTATTGGGTGCCCCTCTGGGTGAAGACACAACTACGTGACAAACTTCAGGTAAACCTATGGGTCAAAGTATTAATTTAAGATATCTTAAACAATATTATTCAAGTATAACATTAAACGAAAAGACTGAGTATGAAAAGACAAGTAAAGTTCGGTATTATATTATGATTCTATTTGGTCATTTTTTATTTCCTGAGAGTACTTGTAATACGGTAAATATTATGTGTTTGCCGTTGTTACAAAACATAAATAAAGTAGGCACATATAGTTGAAGTTCAAATGTTTTGTCCCATCTATATAGTTTGTTGTGTAAAATACAAAAAGAATATTTGTACGTTTTATTGTTGTGCCTTTTTGCTACAAGCATGAGGTTGGTCCAGAATGTCGTCACTCGCCCCGATCAACACGAAGCCATTCAAATTCCCCTTCACAACAAAGTAAGTTTATCTTAAATTTTCAAATTTGTTAGTCTTTACACTACACTAATTGTAACTAATATATTTTCAATCTTTTTATTTTAGGTGGTCAGTTCTGGTGATGAATTACAACAGATGTCCCAAACATGTTATAGTAATGTATCGTAATCTTTTAGACCATCTTGGATCAGACGATATAATACAACTAAACAAAATAAACTTGGTTTAAAAATTACCAAATTACAAATTTTCTAAGTATGTGTTTTTTCTTATGTAGTTTATCTGAAGGTCGTATCTAGATCTCGACCATGAGGTTAACCCCGAGGATGTTGCAGTTTGGACAACAAAAACACCAATAATCAGGTTCACTACTGTGGAAATGCATCAAAATGGCCGTGTGAAACTGCAGTTCGGCATGCAACAGCGAATTCCAGACCCTCCGACGTGTTTGGGACTAGCATCAACAAAGAGTCGATGCTCAATGGGGTTATTCCTATTGGAAAGATTTTGCTAAAGAGATGTGTCGTCAATGGAGGAATCGACGTCGGCACATCTTAATCGAACCTATCATACAATGTTTTAGACCAACTCAACATTATATGGATTGGTTTAGGTCGGTTACAACGACACACTTTGTGTCTGAGCCGAGGTATTTGATCAACCCACGCCAATGAGTTTCGTCATCATACGCTCAATAACCAACCCCACACTATTATCAAACCAAACAACAATTTCAACCCACCCATACCTAACTACCAACCTCACAACGTCAATATACCATATACACCCAACCACCAAACACTCAACCTCGCAACTAATACATACCACACACCCAAACACAAAACCAAGATATTGACTCATACCACCAACAACCATATACAGCCACCACATCTGTCTATAGCCTCGATAATTCATATGATTCTATTTCATCCCACCATAACCTCCACCAATGAACCCCTAAACATCCCACCGCCAAAGCACCAAACCACTATATGACTTTCTTACACCACAAGAACCATTGCTTTGTTTCCAAAACAATTTAGTGTCTCAATTTAACCAACCATACCGTCCTCACATAACCCAACCATAACGACCTAACTACAACAACATGGGCACCGAATTGAATTACGGCAGCGCCGTTGGCAGCAACCCCCTGACTATTAGGGACAATGATTGAAAATATGTCAAATACACCAAGACCCTCACACCGACCATGTTTTCCTCAGGCCAATACTCAAAGACCCCAAACACCTCAAAAAAATCGTAGGAGATTTCGAAGGCAGACTAATGTGCCGGAATGTGAAACCAATGGACGTTTTGATCGGGCAGATCTTTGATTTTCTATTCAATTGCTGTCAGTTGAATTTTATGAAATAATAGTTTAAATCAGTTTTAATTTTCTTTTTTATTTCAATTTTTAGTTAAAATTATTAAAATTTTAAAAAAATAAAAATAAATAGCCACTACAGGTGGCGCATGCTCCTGGTGGATGCATGCATGTGTCACTTGTAGTGGTGACACATACAAGCATGCGCCAACCACAATGGAGCCTATGTGTAACAATTTAAAGCATGCATCAACAAGATTGACTACTCCTCTTTTCGTCACTTTGAAACACGGTCACTTTAGTAAATATTTTAAAACAATGATTATTTTCATATTTAATTTGAAAAAATTGGTTATTAAAAAAAAATCCAAACATGTAATTACACTATCTTCACATTCAAACGATTAGGTGGTACCAACTAAAGACAATTAAAAATACAATAATTAAAATAAAAATAACAATATTAAATAATACTTTTTATATAAAATTTAAGGTAGATACAAACAACTTTAAGTATACTTAATTAAAACTTATTTATTAATAAATTAGTATTAAAAATGACATAATATTTAATGATTGAATGATTAATATACTCAACCAAATTTCAAAAATACCATAGTTCACCTACATTAAAATCAACTATTCTTCATTTGAAAAAAATATACATAAGTAAAATACTGTTCATCTAACAGCTAGTTTTAACAGCATGAATCAACATTGTTCCACCTATATACAATGCTGGTTCTTTGTGTTTTCGCTCACTAAGAAAAAATTTCAGTTCACGCCACTGAGTGCACATTAGAACGTTACATTTGAAGAAAATGAGTTTTCAGGAGTCACAAAAACGAGATATATGGTGGATCTACAAAAGTGCAAACAAAAATGTAAAACCGACTATGTATTTTTCAGAAGTCACATTTTAATTTTGTAGTCTTCACATGTTATGATGTGTTCATAAAGACAGAATTATTAAACCAATCAAAACTTATAACAAACTATGAAGTTTCTTTTGACAGAGGAATTACTATTGATTCGCTTAATTTGTGTGTGTTCTTTTCACGAGGTTAACAATGACGAGTTGGCATCACATTTTTCACCTATTGCACAGCATGCATGGCATGATACCAACATGCCTATAAATATATGGCTTAGTTCTTTATTAGGATTCATTCAAACCATAGAAAGTTACCTCAAATTTGTTATTAGCAATCACGTTGAATATGGCAATGGTTATCACTGCAACAACAACTCTTGTTATATTCTTATTGTTTTCTCCATCATCAGTAGCTATATTACTCAACAAGCTTCAGCTACCAACACCAGTGACAGGACCGGAGTCCCTCGCATTTGATAGAGACGGTGGAGGACCTTATGTATCTTCCTCTGATGGAAGAATTTTTAAGTATATTGGTCCAAATGATGGTTTCAAGGAATATGCTTACACTTCTCCAAACAGGTAAATAAACTTGTCATCAAATAATACCAATTAGATTCAAAGTCTAAAAATACCATTTTCACTTTGAATTATAATACTATCATAAAATAAGTGTAAAAAATTATTTTGCTTAGGAACAAGGCAGTCTGCGACGGGCTTGCTGACTTCTCAGCGATCCAAGCAACATGTGGAAGGCCTTTAGGATTGGGTTTCAACCATCAGACAGGTGATTTGTATGTCGCCGATGCTTATTTTGGCCTTGTTAAGGTTGGTCCGGATGGAGGAAATGTAACTCAATTAGTTGGACCTGAACAAGCCAATGCTATAAGGTTTACTGATGGTTTGGATGTAGATCCTGACACTGGAATAGTCTATTTTACCGTTGCTAGCACTAACTTCCAGCTCAAGTAAGCATGTCTTTTTTTATTCTTACAATGTTGTTAAGTATAGTTTTAGTGCATTGTGGTAACAAATATGTATATTTTTTATTTGTTATGCAGAGATTTCCAAACACTGCTAAACAGTGGAGATAATTCAGGAAGCTTATTGAAATATGATCCAAGCACCAACCAAACAACAGTGTTGCTAAGCAATCTTGAAGTGCCATCTGGGGTGGCAGTAAGCAAAGATGGTTCATTCGTACTTGTGAGTGAATATCTAGCAAACAGAATTCAGAGAGTGTGGCTGAAAGGTCCAAGAGCGAATTCATCGGAATTATTCACGATAGTTGCTGGAAGACCAAATAACATCAAGAGGAATTCAAGAGGACAATTTTGGATTTCAGTGAATAGTATTGTAGGACCACCTAGATTTCCAAGACGTTCTACATTGCCTTCAGGAGTTAGAGTCACTGAGAATGGTTTAGTTTTACAGATTGTGTCTCTTGCTAGTGAGTATGGTACTGAACCAGCTAGTGAGGTTCAAGACTACAATGGAACACTTTATAGTGGCTCCCTGTTTGCTAATTATGCTACAACTTTTAGCCCGTAGGCTGCTACCTTTATATGGCTATTGAAAAATTAATACATGGGGACTAAATAAAGAAAAACTTTGATCATATATACTTGCAAGTTGCATTGTAACATAAGTTAATGAAAATTGCCTAGTTGAAGATCATGGGTTGCAGTTATTACCTTTATGCTTACAAATAAGTTACATCTAACTTTAAATGGCAAAAGAAGTTCTGATGCGGTTGTCAATGTTAGGAAACTCTGATAACTGACTTGATTTATTGAATAATAGAAAAGCTAATATATAGCTGATTACACAAACTGACTATCCTAAAACTTAGCTAGAAATTAGAAACTAATAAAGACTAAATCAAAATGTATCAAAGTGCTGTGCTAACAGTCCTATAAAGTAGGATATTTATTCTAACAAACTAACCAAGTCATAATTAACCCTATCATTTCCTCCCTTAAACTAGACAGTATACTAGTTTAACTTAGGTGCATCACATACTCCAAGTTTCTTCCTAAGATGCTGAAATGTCTTCAACTTGAGAGGCTTAGTGAAAATGTCTGCTATCTGTTGTTCAGTGCCACAAAACTTCAGTTGTACAGCTCCTTCATTCACCATAACACGCAGGAAGTGGAACCTTACATCAATGTGTTTACTCTTTCCGTGCATCACAGGGTTTTTGGATAGCTTAATTGTTGAACTATTGTCGCAAAATATAACGGGACTGCTACTGCTATTATAGTCAAGCTTCTTCAACACTCTCTTCATCCATATCATTTGACATGTGCAAGCTGCAGCAGCTACAAATTCTGCTTCTGTGGTGCTCAGTGCGACAATAGGTTGTTTCCTTGAAGACCATGCTACAGCTGCATTGCTCAGAATAAATGCATACCCGGATGTACTCTTTCTGTCCTCCATACTTCCAGCATAATCACTGTCGGTGAATCCGATCAGCTCTGTATTTCCTGTCTTCCTATAGAGAATCCCATAGCTAGTGGTTCCTTGTAAATACCTTAATATCCTTTTAGCTGCCATAAGATGAAGCTCAGTTGGATTTGACATGTATATACTAATAAGGCTAACTGAATACATCACATCAGGTCTTGTAGTTGTCAGATAAATCATGCTTCCAACCAGCTGCTTGTAGACTGAACTATTCACTTTCACACCATCTTCATCTTTGTGAATTTTGAAACCTGGAACCATTGGATTCTACACAGAATTGCTTGCTTCCATTCCAAATTTCTTCAACATATCTTTCACATACTTCTTTTGGCTGATAAATATCCCTTCATCAAACTGTAATACTTCTATACCAAGAAAGTATTTCATCCTTTCCAAGTCAGACATGTCAAACTCCTTCATCATGGACTGTTTGAACTCTCTCATCATAGCACTATCATTACCAGTATAGATCAAATCATCAACATATAGGCTAACAATTAAGAAGTTACCTTGTTTATTCACTTTAGTAAATAATGTTTGTTCACTTGCATCCTTCTCGAATCCTGTCTGCTTGAAGTATGACTCTATTCGACTGAACCATGCTCGCGGTGCTTGCTTGAGTCCATATAAAGCTTTGTTAAGCTTGTAGACCTTCCTTTCTTCATCCTTCAACTCATAACCCTTAGGCTGTTCAACATAGACCTCTTCCGATAATTCTCCTTGGAGAAAGGCAGATTTCACATCAAGTTGATAAATAATCCAACTTCTTTGAGCTGCAAGAGCAATGATCATACGTATAGTGTCCATACGAGCTACAGGAGCATACACTTCATCATAATCAACCCCTTGTTGCTGAGCATATCCTTTCGCCACTAAGCGAGCTTTATATTTTTCAATTTCTCCCAGCTGATTCAATTTGGTCTTGTATACCCATTTGACTCCTATGGTTTTAGCACCTCTTGGTAAATCAGTTAGCTGCCATGTCCCGTTCTTCTCGATTGTACTTATTTCATCATCCATTGCTTGTCTCCATTTTTCACTTTGCACTGCCTCTTCGAAACTGATTGGATCAGAGCTAGCAAAGAAAGCAAAATGTACTTGACCATCTTCTTCTTCTTCACCAATAACATCTTCACCAATAACAGAATCATTCATCCATATTGGTGCTCTTCTAACTCTGATTTCTCTTGCATTAGAAGTTGTAGGATTGGCACTAGGTACAACAGCCTCAATTGCATCACTTGTCATCTCCTTTTCTTCTTCTTCGTTGCTTTGTGTGTCATGATTTTGTTGGATGTTTTCATCATTTTCTTCTCCCACCTCTAGATCAAGTCTAATAAAATCTTGGTAACTTTCATCCCAATTCCACTTCTTTTCTTCCTCAAAGACAACATCCCTACTGATTATGACTTTCTTGTTCAAAGGATCATAGAGTTTATATCCCTTGGATTCTGCACTCACCCCAAACAGAACATAACTGCGACTTTTATCATCCAGTTTAGTTCGTCTAGCATCAGGGACGTGAGCATGAGCTACAGAACCAAACACTTTGAAGTGTTCAACTGAAGGTTTCACCCCACTCCAAGCTTCTTCAGGGGTCATGTCCTTGAGTGATGATGTTGGACATCTATTTAGAACATAGAAGGCCTAATTCACAGCTTCTGGCCAGAAATTTCTCGGCACATCTTTCTCAGCCAGCAGACATCTCACCATATTCATTACAGTTCTGTTTCTTCGTTCTGCAACACCATTTTGCTGAGGTGTGTAAACTGTGGTTAACTGCCTCTTAATGCCATTCTCTCTACAATATTCTTTGAACTCATTTGATGTAAATTCACCTCCACGATCTGTTCTTAAGCATTTAATGGACAAACCAGATGCTTTCTCTACACACGTTCTGAATTGCTTAAAGACACTAAACGCATCGGACTTATATGTAAGAAAATACACCCAAGCTTTTCTACTAAAATCATCAATGAAACAAATGAGATACCTTTTTTGTCCGTTGGAAGTAGGAGAGATTGGACCACAAATGTCAGAATGAATCAGCTCTAGTTTTTTTGAAGCTCTCCATATCGCCTTCTTTGGAATAGTTTCTCGATGTTGCTTCCCTTTTAAACAGCCAGTGCACACAACATTGGTTTCAGCAAAATGTGGCAGCCCTTTCACCATTTCCTTGTTTTTCAGAGTTTTCAAGCCTGTATAGCTTAGATGACCATATCTACGGTGCCAAAGTTGAGCTAGATCTTGGACATCAGCTTGAAAGCACTCTTCACTCATTTCCTGCTTGCAACAAGGTGTATTTGTGAGCAACACAAACATCCTGTTGGCTGTCATTTTGCTGGTAATGACAAGACCCTTTGTAGGATGGTAGATCCGACATTGATTGTCCTTTATCACAACAGCAAGACCTTTCTCTTGTAGCTGTCCAATGCTAAGAAGATTGTTCTTTAAGTCTGGCACGTAGAACACATCTTTGACAGTGTGATAAACTCCTTCCAAAACTAACCTCGCACTTCCTTTTCCAACAACACTCATTGTTGTATGGTTGCCCAATCTGACATTTCTTTTGAATCCATTCTCCATATCCATGAATAGTGAAGAATCACCGCACATATGGTTGCTGCATCCGGTGTCCAGAAACCACACATCTTGTTGATTAATTCTAGAAGATTCAACATATGCCATAAGCAGCATCTCTTCTGATTCTTCAAGCTCAGCATAGTTTGCTTGCTTCTCTAAATTTGGACACTCGTACTGATAGTGTCCTAGCTGATGGCATGTGTAGCATTCAACGGTCGCCCTGTTGTAACTTTGCCGACCCCTGCCTCTACCTCTTCCTCCTCTGAAAGTGCTTCTTCCTCGTCCTCTTCCACCATTTCTTTCATCATAGGACACCTTGAGAGCATGTTCTTTGTCTCCATCTTTCTTAAACTTTTGCTCATGGACAAGAAGAGAACTCTGCAAGGCATCAACAGAGAGTTCATCAATGTCCTTTGACTCTTCTATGGAAAAAATTATATAGTTCCATTTTTCAGTGAGGGTTCTCAAGATCTTCTCTACAATCTTGATATCAGCCATATCCTCTCCATAATTTCTCATATCATTTGCGATCATCATCACTCGGCTAAAATAAACACTGATTGATTCACCTTGTTTCATAGCTAAGACCTCAAACTCTCTGCGAAGGCGGTTGAGTTGAGCCCTTTGAACTCGAGCATTCCCTTGACATTTCATCTTCATGGAATCCCAAAGTTGCTTGGATGTCTCCTTCTGAGTGATTGTTTTAAGAATTGACTTGTCAAGAGATTGAAACAAGTAATTCTTCGCCTTTAGATCTTTGAGTTGCGCTTCCTCCAGTGTCTTCTTTTGTGATGCTGTTAACACTTCATCAGCACCTGGTTGTGAATAGCCAGATTCCACAACACTCCAGTACTCCTTGGATCGGAGTAGATTCTTCATGACCATGCTCCAGTGGTCATAATCACCATCGTATTTCGGAATAGAGGGTTGAGAAAAACCACTATTTCCTTCAGCCATTGCTTACGAACTCTCTCTCCTTTTTTTCTCGATATGAAGCTCTAGATACCAGATTGTTAGGAAACTCTGATAACTGACTTGATTTATTGAATAATAGAAAAGCTAATATATAGCTGATTACACAAACTGACTATCCTAAAACTTAGCTAGAAAATAGAAACTAATAAAGACTAAATCAAAATGTATCCAAGTGTTGTGCTAACAGCCCTATAAAGTAGGATATTTATTCTAACAAACTAACCAAGTCATAATTAACCCTATCAGTCAAAAGCTCTACAAAACAACAATCATAAGTAAAGATAAACTGACTTAAAAGTTCAATGTATAACATTAGATATAACCTGTTGATAATATCAATCAGAAAATACAAATTCATTTCTGCTACTTGAATAAAAATAATGCAGAGCTCCATGGAAATATAGACATTATTTAGTCCAAATGTAAAGTATTAAGATCCTGACCCACCGTACCTATGACGTGCCCTTAAATGCTTCCCCCTTCCTATCGTACACATCATAATCTTCTACGTACAGACATGAAAGCCA